GTAATGAGGGGAAGGTGTGGGCTGAGTGTGGCTCTGCAGGGGTTGGTTGAACTCCAGGATTGGGCTGGAAAGGGCAGATTTGGGGTGTTGGGAACCAAAATCCCCCCCAAAAATATGGGGGAGAAATGGCTGGGGGAAGGTGTGGGTCTGTGGGATTGGGCTGGGTCACGCTGGGGGCTCCAGAAATCCCAAAATAATAAAAAAATCCCCCCATAAAATACCAAAAAAAAAGGCTGTAGGGAGGTGTGAGTTGAGTGTGGCTCTGCAGGCGTTGGTTGGGCCACACTGGGGACTCCAGAAATCCCAAAATCCCAAAAAAAAATCCTTGAAAAATCTGGAAAAAACAGGAAAAAATTGTGCTGAGGGGAGCGGTGGGTTGAGTGTGGCTCTGCAGTAATTTTTGATGTTGTAAAAGATCTGATATATATATATGGTAGTAGTTATTATTTATTGTTCTAATAAGTTTTAAGGTCTTCATTTGAAGTTTTAATTTATATTTGCATTTATTATCTTTGTAATATTAAAAAAAAGAGGAAAAACAAGGGGCAGGTTTGGGTTGTTGGGCGCCAAAATATGGGGAAAAAACAAGGGTCAGTTTTGGTGCTTGGACACCAAAATCCCCCCAGAAAAAGGGGAAAAAATGGATTTTTTCCCATTGCAAATCCCATTTTTCCCTACCTTGGCAGAAGAGGGACATCCAGCTGCTCAAGGCCTACATGAGGGCGATCCGCAGCGTCAACCCCAACCTGCAGAACCTGGAGGAGACCATCGAGTACAACGAGATCCTGGAGTGAGTGCGGGGCATTTCGGGGGATTCTGAGGGAAATTCGTTGTTTTTCGAGGGAAATTTGTCATTTTTTGAGGGAAATTTGTCATTTTTTTGAGGGAACTTTGTTGATTTTTGAGGGAAATTTGTCATTTTTTGAGGGAAATTCAATGGAGGGAATTTAATGAATTTTTGACGGAAATACATTGATTTTTGAGGGAAATTCATCAATTTTTGAGGGAAATTAATCAATTTTTGATGGAAATACATTGATTTTTGAGGGAAATTTGTCATTTCTTGAGGGAAATTCATTGATTTTTGAGGGAAATTTGTCATTTTTTGAGGGAAATTCATTGATTTTTAAGAGAAATGTGTAGGTTTTGGGGAGAAATTTGGTTTTTTTGAGGGAAATTTGTCATTTTTTGAGGGAAATTCATTAATTTTTAAGGGAAATGTGTAGGTTTTGGGGGAAATTTGGTTTTTTTGAGGGAAATTGGTAATTTTTTGAGGGAACTTTGTTGATTTTTGAGGGAAATTCATCAGTTTTTGAGGGAAATTCATTGATTTTTAAGAGAAATGTGTAGGTTTTGGGGAGAAATTTGGTTTTTTTGAGGGAAATTTGTCATTTTTTGAGGGAAATTCATTAATTTTTAAGGGAAATGTGTAGGTTTTGGGGGAAATTTGGTTTTTTTGAGGGAAATTGGTAATTTTTTGAGGGAACTTTGTTGATTTTTGTGGAAATTTGTCATTTTTTGAGGGAAATTCATTAATTTTTAAGGGAAATGTGTAGGTTTTGGGGGAAAATTTGGTTTTTTTGAGGGAAATTGGTAATTTTTTGAGGGAACTTTGTTGATTTTTGAGGGAAATTCATCAGTTTTTGAGGGAAATTCATAGATTTTTGAGGGAAATTAATCATTTTTTGAGGGAAATTAATTGATTTTTAAGGGAAATGTGTAGGTTTTGGGGGGAAATTTGTTTTTTTTGATGGAAATTTGTTGATTTTTGAGGGAAATTCATCAGTTTTTGAGGGAAATTCATAGATTTTTGAGGGAAATTAATCATTTTTTGAGGGAAATTAATTGATTTTTAAGGGAAATTTGTAGGTTTTGGGGGGGATTTGTAATTTTTTGAGGAAAATTTGTCATTTTTTGAGGGAAATTCATCAGTTTTTGAGGGAAATTCATCAGTTTTTGAGGGAAATTCATCAGTTTTTGAGGGAAATTCATCAGTTTTTGAGGGAAATTCATCAGTTTTTGAGGGAAATTCATCAGTTTTTGAGGGAAATTCATCAGTTTTTGAGGGAAATTCATCAGTTTTTGAGGGAAATTCATCAGTTTTTGAGGGAAATTCATCAGTTTTTGAGGGAAATTCATCAGTTTTTGAGGGAAATTTGTAGGTTTTGGGGGGGATTTGTAATTTTTTGAGGAAAATTTGTCATTTTTTGAGGGAAATTTGTTGTTTTTTGAAGAGGAGTGCATGGCTTTTGGGGGGAATTTGCAGTTCTTTTGTGCCCTGGTGGGGGATTGCTCTCAGGTGGAGCTCAGTGGTCTTGGAGCTGTTTTCTGAGCTCAGCAATTCCATAATCCCACCCCAAACCCCCATCCCTGACCCCTCTGAGTGTCCTGAGCTGGGTGAACCCCTACAAATCCACCCCAGACCCCCATCCCTGACCCCCGTGTGTAGCAATTCCATAATCCCACCCCAAACCCCCATCCCTGACCCCTCTGAGTGTCCTGAGCTGGGTGAACCCCCACAAATCCACCCCAAACCCCCATCCCTGACCCCCGTGTGTCCCCCCAGCTGACTGAACCCCCACAATCCCACCCCAAACCCCCATTTCTGACCCCATTATGCCCCCTAAGCTGACTGAACCCCCACAATGCCACCCCAAACCCCATCCCTGACCCCATTATGCCCCCTATGGTGACTGAAACCCCCCAATTCCACGATCCCACCTCATCCCTGGCCCCATTATGCCCCCTAAGCTGACTGAACCCCCACAATGCCACCCCAAACCCCCATCCCTGACCGCCGCGCGTCCCCCCAGGTGGGGGAACCTCCACAATTCCACAATCCCACCCCCTCCCTGACCCCATTATGCCCCCTATGGTGACTGAAACCCCCCAATTCCACGATCCCACCTCATCCCTGGCCCCATTATGCCCCCTAAGCTGACTGAACCCCCACAATGCCACCCCAAACCCCCATCCCTGACCGCCGCGCGTCCCCCCAGGTGGGTGAACCTCCACAATTCCACAATCCCACCCCATCCCTGACCCCATTATGCCCCCTATGGTGACTGAACCCCCACAATTCCACGATCCCACCTCATCCCTGGCCCCATTATGCCCCCTATGGTGGCTGAACTCCCACAATCCCACCCCAGACCCCCATCCCTGATCCCTGCGTGTCCCCCCAGGTGGGTGAACCCCCCACAATCCCACGATCCCACCCCATCCCTGACCCCATTATGCCCCCTAAGCTGACTGAACCCCCACAATCCCACCCCAAACCCCCATCCCTGACCGCCGCGCGTCCCCCCAGGTGGGTGAACTCCCTGCAGCCGGCGCGGGTGACGCGCTGGGGCGGCATGATCTCCACGCCGGACGCGGTGCTGCAGGCCGTCATCAAGCGCTCGCTGGTGGAGAGCGGCTGCCCGGCGTCCATCACCAACGAGCTGATCGAGAACGCCCACGAGCGCAACTGGCCGCAGGGGCTGGCCACGCTGGAGACGCGCCAGATGAACCGGCGCTACTACGAGAACTACGTGGCCAAACGCATCCCCGGCAAGCAGGCCGTGGTGGTGATGGCCTGCGAGAACCAGCACATGGGCGAGGACATGGTGCTGGAGCCGGGGCTCGTCATGATTTTCGCTCACGGAGTGGAGGAGATCTGAGGAGAATCCAGCTCGGGGTGGCAGGGGTTTCCTGGACTTTTAGGGTTTGTGATTTTTGCTCACGGAGTGGAGGAGATGTGAAAAAAATCCACCTTGGGATGGCAGGGGTTTCCTGGACTTGGGTTTGTGATTTTCCCTCATGGTGTGGAGGAGATCTGAGAAAAATCCAGCTCGGGGTGGCAGGGGTTTCCTGGACTTTTAGGGTTTGTGATTTTCGCTCACGGAGTGGAGGAGATCTGAAAATTCCACCTTGGGATGGCAGGGGTTTCCTGGACTTTTAGGGTTTGTGATTTTCGCTCACGGAGTGGAGGAGATGTGAAAAAAATCCACCTTGGGATGGCAGGGGTTTCCTGGACTTGGGTTTGTGATTTTCCCTCATGGTGTGGAGGAGATCTGAGAAAAATCCAGCTCGGGGTGGCAGGGGTTTCCTGGACTTTAAGGGTTTGTGATTTTCGCTCATGTCATGGAGGATATCCAAAAAAAGTCCACCTTGGGGTGGCAGGGGTTTCCTGGACTTTTAGGGTTTGTGATTTTCGCTCACGGAGTGGAGGAGATGTGAAAAAAATCCACCTTGGGATGGCAGGGGTTTCCTGGACTTGGGTTTTTCCCTCATGGCATGGAGGAGATCTGAGAAAAATCCACCTAGGGACAGGAGGGCAGTTGGATTTTTGGGGTTGTGGTTTTGGTTCATGGCGTGGAGATCTGAAAAAATCCACCTCAGGACAGTGGGGGTTTCCTGGAGTTGGATTTTTGGGGTTGTGATTTTCACTCGTGGCGTGGAGATCCAAAAAAATCCACCTTAGGATGTCAGGATTTTCCTGGACTTGGGTTTTTCCCTCATGGCGTGGAGGAGATCTGAGAAAAATCAACGGTTCCACCACCTCAGGATGGTGGGGGTTTCCTGGACTTGGGTTTTTGGGGTTGCGATTTTTGCTCATGGAGACCCAAAAAAATCCACCTCAGGCCAGTGGGGGTTTCCTGGACTCGGATTTTTGAGGTTCTGAAAAAAATCCACCTGAGGACAATGGGGGTTTCCTGGACTCGGATTTTTGGGGTTCCCCCCTTGACTGGACCCGTTAGGAACCCAGCTCGGCCGTTTCAAGGAGAGGGGGAGTGGGGGCTCCACGCACTGCCAGACCCCTCGGGGGTCCCCCAAATCCCAGCCCTGCTGCCCAGCAAGCTCCATCTCCTCGCCCCCTCCTCAATTTCCACCTGGCCTGGTGTCCCCAAGTGTCACCAACCCTGGAGTGAGGGGTCCTTGCCTTGGGGACCCTCCTGTGCCCCTCACTTTGTGCATGCCCCGTTCCCTGGCCCCGGGAGCATCTCCCACCTCCTCCCAATCCGTGTTTGGTTCTGCTTTCTCCACCCTTGGTGTTATTTTTCCAGACACTCGTGATTGTGGTTCTGTATTTTTATTTTTTTTTTGTACTTTAATTTTTTTTTTTTGACCTTTTCTTATTTTTACTCCCCCTTTTTATTTGATTTTCCAGGTACCCTGGGCGGGCACCTCTGGCCTGAGTCCGTGGGACTCGTTGGGAATTTAATTTATTTGCATTTATTTTGTTTTTTTGTTTTTTTTTTTTACCATTGTTTCTCCTCCGGTGTCGGTCCCGGCAGATCCGGCGGGAGGCAGGGATTGAAGTGATCAATAAACAGAATTCTGGTTGCTTTATCCTCGCTTTGGGGGTCTCCTTCTGCACCCCAAAACCCTCCCCATGCTGGGGGGCTCAGTCTTGGGGTGAAAATGGGTGGGTTTGGGGCTGTTCTCCCCATGCTGGGGGGATCAATAAATGTCACTCCTGGGAGGGAACGGGGGTGGCTGAGGGTCCTGGGGGGTCCCCCTGCCCTGAAGCCCCCCAGATGTGCTCCCCAAAAAGGATGAACTTGTCCCCCTTATTCCCACCCTTAAAAGAGCAGAGGCCAGAGTGGGGTTCCCACTTATGCCCTTAAAAAAGGTCAGAGAGTAGAGGGGGGTCCCCACTTTTCCCACCCCAATAGGAGCTGGGAATGGGGGGTCCCCACCCCTAAAAGAGCTGGGACTGGAACTGGGGGTTTGGGGCTGTTCTCCCCATGCTGGGGGGATCAATAAATGTCACTCCTGGGAGGGAACGGGGGTGGCTGAGGGTCCTGGGGGGTCCCCCTGCCCTGAAGCCCCCCAGATGTGCTCCCCAAAAAGGATGAACTTGTCCCCCTTATTCCCACCCTTAAAAGAGCAGAGGCCAGAGTGGGGTTCCCACTTATGCCCTTAAAAAAGGTCAGAGAGTAGAGGGGGGTCCCCACTTCTCCCACCCCAAAAGGAGCTGGGTAGGGGGGTCCCCACCCCTAAAAGAGCTGGGACTGGAACTGGGGGGTCCCCACCCCAAAAAGAGCTGGGAATGGGGGGGGTCCCCACCCCTAAAAGAGCTGGGACTGGAACGGGGGGGTCCCCCCCCCTAAAAGAGCTGGGGATGGGGGGGGGGTCCCCACCCCTAAAAGATCAGAGAATAGAGGGGGGGGTCCCCACTTCTCCCACCCCAATAGGAGCTGGGACTGGAACTGGGGGGTCCCCACCCCTATAAGACCGGGACTGGGGGGGTCCCCATCCCAAAAAGAGCTGGGACTGGGGGGGTCGCCATCCCAAAAAGAGCTGGGACTGCGGGGGTCCCCACCCCTAAAAGAGCTGGGATTGGGACTGGGACTGGGAAGGGGGGGGTCCCTGCTGCTCCCACCCCAAAAAGAGCCGGGATTAGGGGGGGTTCCCCGTTGTTCCCACCCCTTTAAGAGCCGGTACCGGGGCTTGGGGACTCTCCGATCCTCCCGCCGTTAAAGGAGCCGGTACCGGAGGGAGAGCCCGTGCTTTCCCCGCTGTTGCCGCCGTTAAGAGCCGGTAACCGAGCGAGGATCCCTGTGGTTACCCCCGGTAGAAGAGCCAGGACCTGTGGGAGGGGGTCCCCGTTATTCCCGCCGTTAAAGGAGCCGGTACCGGGGCTTGGGGGGGCCGTGGTGTTCCCGCCGTTAAAGGAGCCGGTACCGGAGGCTGAGGTTGTGTGTTCCCCGGTGTTCCCGCCGTTAAAGGAGCCGGTACCGGAGACTGAGGGTGTGTGTTCCCCGGTGTTCCCGCCGTTAAAAGAGTCGGTACCGGGGCCTGGGGCACCTGTGATGCTCCCTTCGTTAAAAGTGCCGCTACCCGGTGTGCTCGCCGCTACCGGAGGAGCTCCGGTGTGTGTCCCCCACAAGCAAAACAATGCTTCGCGTCACGGACAGGATTCGAACCTGTGCGGGGAAACCCCATTGGATTTCGAGTCCAACGCCTTAACCACTCGGCCACCGTGACTCTCGCGCCTCCGTCCGCCGCGCTCCGCATAGACCCGGCCCCGCCGCCGCTCCCGGCCCCGCCCCGCCCGGTGCTCGGTGTCCGGTGCTCGGTACTCGGTGCCCGGTGCTCAACGCGGGGTGCACGGCTCGGTGCTCAAAGCCCGGTGCCCGGTGCTCGGTGTCCGGCTTTGTGCTCACTTCCTGGTGCTCATTGTCCGGTGCCCGGTGCTCAATGCCCGGTTTGGTGCTCAATACCCAGTGCCCGGTGCCCAGTGCTCGGTGCTCAAGGCTCCCGGTTTGGTGCTCAATACCCAGTGCCCAGTGCCCGGCCCGGTGCTCGGTGCCCGGTGCTCGGTGCCGTTCCGGTGCTCCCTCCGGGTCTCATCCCTTTCCACCCCCGCCTTCCCCTACCCCAGGCCGCTCCAAGCCCCGTCCGAGCCGGCCTGGAACACTCCAAGGGATGGGGCAGCTCTGGGGAATCCATTCCTCACCCTCTCGAGGAGGAATTCCCTCCCAATACCCCGTCTAAACCCAATCTCCTGCGATTTGAACCCATTTCTCCCTGTCGTGCCTCTCTTGCCGCACTTGCGGGCGGCGGGACCGGGAACGGCGCCCGGGGGCAGCGGGACCAACAACGGGCGGTGGAGCGGGAGCTCGGGGCCCGGAACAGCGCCCGGGGCCCGGGACAGCGCCCGGGGGACAGCGGGGTCGGCGGGAACGGCGGCAGCGGGACCAGCAGGAGGCGGTGGCGGGCGCGGCGGGCGGTACAACGGGGGCGGCGGGGCCGGGAACAGCGATCGGTGTCGTGAACAACGATCGGGGGTGGCGGTGCGGGAGCGGGAACAGCTCCCGGCGCCGGTAACACCGGGCGGGAGCGGGAACAGCGCCCGGCACCGGCAACACCGGGCGGGAGCGGCGGAGGCGGCAGTGCGGGAGCGGCACCGCCAGGGGGCGGCAGCGGGGCGGCGGGAGCGGCAGTGCGGGAACGGGAGAGCACCAAAGGGGGCGGCGGGGCCGTAACAGCGACCGGGGCCGGTGCGAGCGGCGGGGACAGCCACCGGGATCGGGGACAGCGGGATCGGGGACAGCGGGATCGGGGACAGCGGGATTGGGGACAGCGACCGGCGGCGGCGGCGGCGGCGGCGGGCGCGGCAGTGGCGGCGGGCCGGCAGGGG